TCCCCTCCTACCAAGGCGCTTACCGCCGGTACTGCATTACCCAAAGAGCCTTAATGATATATTCACCGAGGATTTCACCTTGGCAGATTTCTTTAAATCATCTGACAAAGATTCAACATTTCTGCTTCTGATAATTCTAATATAGTAAATTTTAAAGACATGCCAGTTACTAGAGAAAAGCTCATTGAAGAACAATATAAAGATCCTGAGTTGCAAACATTTTATGATAGGCTTACTGATACAAGTAACATAGACAATTTCAGTACCTGCTATTATCTCCAGTCAGGTGTTCTTATGCGTAAATATAAGCCCTATAATATATCTGCAGACGATACCAGTAAGATAGTACATCAGATTGTCATTCCAAAGCCCTTCGAACTGATGTATTGAATATTGCACATGACATTAGTGGTCATTTGGGAGTCAACAAATCTTACCATAAGATTTTAGCTCATTTTTATTGGCCGAAAATGAAACGTGATGTTGGTTACTATTGCCAGTCATGCCATATCTGCCAAGTAAAAGGCAAACCCGGAGATGGTATCAAACCATATCCCTTGCAACCTATCCCTGTGTTAACAGAGCCTTTCAGCAAAATAGTTATTGACTGTGTAGGTCCTCTTCCAAAGACTAAACGGGGTAACAAGTTTCTGTTAACCATAATTGATGTGGCCACCCGATATCCTGAAGCTATTCCTCTTAGACGCATCACTACTAAGAATGTTGTGAAGGCATTGATAAATTTTTTTTACACAAGTTGGTCTGCCTACTGTAATACAATCAGATCAAGGGTCAAATTTTACGTCCAGACTGTATGAACAGGTTATGAAGTCCTTGGGTATACAGCAGTGCAGGTCCACCGTATATCATCCTCAGAGTCAAGGGGTAGTTTGAAAGGTTTCACTATACTTTAAAGACTATGATTAAAGCCTTTTGTTTAGAGACTGGTTCTGAGTGGGATGAAGGAATAGATTTGCTGTTATTTTCAGTAAGGGACAGTGTTCAAGAGAGCCTTGGTTATTCTCCATTTCAATTAATTTACGGCCATGAAGTGCGTGGACCACTGAAGGTCTTAAAGGAGTGCTGGTTAATTGAAGAGGAGGACATTCCAGTAGCTGCTTATGTGAATAAATTTAAGCATAGATTACGAACAGCTATCTCAATAGCTCATAATCATTTGGGTAAAGCTCAATCTAAAATGAAAGAACATTTTGATAAAGCAAATAATACTGAAGTTAGAACCTTCAATGAGGGTGATTTAGTTCTGGCTTTGCTGCCTCTTCCTAACCAGCCTCTTCAGTCTCGCTATACGGGTCCATTTCGTATTCTAAAACGAACGAGTGATACAAATTATGTGATTGAAACACCTAAGAGGCGTAAGAAAAAACCGTCATGTACATGTAAACCTCCTGAAAAAGTACCATGAACGGGGTGATATAAAGGATGAGGTACGAAATGTTTCAATAGTTGTACCTTCAAACATCAGTAATGACACTTGTGATAATGTAAAGATTGTGGAGCCTAACCTTATAAATTCGACAATTTTAGCTAAACCTGATGATAAACTTAAACACCTTTCTGCTGCCCAAGCAGCAAACATTCGTTCTCTTCTGCAGGAGTATGAGGAACTATTCAGTGATGTACCTCGTCTCTGCCCACTGCTGGAACATGATGTGGAGACTAAGGAAGCTCAGCCAGTACGTCAAGCTCCCTATCGCCTCAATGCAGAGAAGAGGGCTTTCCTGCAGACGGAGGTTCAGCGCCTGAAGGAGCAGGGGTTCATTAGTCCAGCCTGAGTCCCTGGGCATCACCTATAGTCCTCGTTCCCAAGAGTGGCGGCACTTACCGTCTGTGTGTAGATTATAGGAAGGTGAATGCGGTAACAGTGGCGGACTCGTTCCCCCTCCCGAGGATGGACGACATTATTGATGACCTGGGGAAGGCACGCCACCTGTCGAAGTTGGATCTCCTCCAGGGATATTACCAAGTTCCGTTGACAGAGAGGGCGAGGCCGATTTCTGCGTTTGTCACGCCTGTCGGTCTCTACGAGTTCAAGGTTCTTCCCTTCGGTATGAGGAACGCCCCGGCGACCTTTCAGCGTCTCATGAACTACCTGACTGCGGACTTAGAAGGCGTTCGTTGTTACCTAGACGATCTTGTAATCTGGAGCGAGTCTTGGCAGGAACATCTGGTACGTTTACGTGCACTTCTCCGCCTTGTCAGCCGCAAACCTCACGGTAAATTTGCAGAAGAGTGAATTCGGACATGCTCATGTCACCTTCTTGGGTCACGTGATCGGTCAGGGTCAGGTCGCACCTGTAGCATGAAGGTGAAGCGGTCCTCCAGAACAAAAGTGAAGTGCTCCACCCGGTGTGTTATTTTTCTTATAAGTACAAGTCTTATCAAAAGTCTTACGCCACCGTCGAAAAGGAGGCCTTGGGAATAGTATTGGCAATCGAAAAGTTTAGAGTTTATTTAACAAACTCTGTTCATCCAGTCAAAATTTTCACTGATCATAACCCGTTAACCTTTATAGAAAATGTAAAGTTTAAAAACATGCGAGTGTTGAGGTGGGCTTTAACATTACAGCCATTCAATATAAAGATATTGCATATTAGAGGCACACACAATATCATAGCGGACGCAATTTCAAGATCGTAAGTAGTGCGGTCCACACACGTTGGCCGCTGACTGTACACTGCGAAGGACAGGAAAGAGGCGTACGCTACCTTCACCCGTATAGCCGAACGAGCTGTTGTGTAATTCTATATAGCAATTAGCTAGTTTGAACTTTTTCCCGTACGGTAAAAAGTTTTTTTTCTTTGCGGGGAGGAGTATTACATAACAGTAAAATAAACTAATAATTGTTAAAATGCTAAATTGTCGGCTACGGTAACGAGGCAGTTCCTGCAGCAGCGTTCGCAGCCACCCCCCCCCCCACCGTCTTGAGGCCTACCCGTATGTCTTGGGAGGTTTGCCTCGGTCTCCACCGCCATAGGCCTGGGCAAGACTCTCTGCCTTTTGCTGTTTTTATTTATTGGTTTGTATTTATTCTTTGTTAGGGTTTAGGGTGATATATTAATTATAGTAATATATCACGTAGGGGTTCTTGTTTATGTGTTTTTGTGTTTTTTGTTCTGTTTTTGTTTTACTTGGTGACGGAAGAAAAATAAAAATAAGTGGTAAATATCGAGTTTACGTATTATTCCATTTTAACATAAATGATTTTACAATTACTAAATAATGATCATTAATGGTATACAATTCTTGATTAACAGTGAAAGATAATTAACATAATAAATAACGTATAATGAAAGATGAATAATGATTGACCAAGTGACTTTAATGAATTAGTTTGTATATAAATCAGAAAGGAATATAACATAAATACAGTTAAGAAAGAATACATCATTGATAATGAACCTTGAAGAAAATAACATTAATGGGAGAAGATAAATAAATGAACAATGAACAAAGTGAATGATTTATAATAACTTGACGGCATTAATGAGCCTTTATGGAATGAAAAATGAATTAATACAAATGAATTAACAGAAGAATATTTACAATCACTAGTACTTTAGCACGAGCTGTTGTTACGTGGTATTAGCCGTTCATACCAGGCCATATCCTTCAGATTTGACTTCTCGTCTATGATTTTGGCTTCCGCATTGAGAGAATTAGAGTTCAGCGGAGCTGCTCTTCCCTTAATTCTCTTAGTGACATACCAGCCGTAACAATATATTATATAATTATATATATATATATATGCTCACATAACATTCACACACACGTACACATATATGTATGTATCTCTCTCTCTCTTCTCTCTCTCTCTCTCTCTCTCTCTCTTCTCTTCTCTCTCTCTCTCTCTCTCTATCTCTAGGTATATATATATATATATATAATATATAATATATATATATATATAATGTATGTATGTATATATATGTATATGTATGTATGTAATGTATTTATTATATGTATATATGTATGTATATATATGTATGTATGTATGTATATATGTATGTATGTATGTATGTATGTAATATAATATGTATATATAAGTATGTAATGTATGTATATATATATTATATATGTATGTATGTATGTATATATATATATGTATGTATATATAGTATATATGTATATGTATGTATGTAATATTTATATATATATATTATGTATGTATGTATTATGTATATATATAATATATATAATATATATATATATATATAATGTATATATATGTATTTATGTATGTATCTATCCATCTATATATGCAGAGAGAGGTGGATAGATAGATGCATGGATGGATATCTGTGTGTTTGTTTGTGTATGTGTATGTGTGAATCTGTCTCCTTCGTGAGCGCGCATACGTGAGTGTGTGTCTGAACACAAATATATGCTGCGCATCTACAGGCTTTGCCATCATTCCCGTCATCTTCTCTGGCGAGGTTGTCAGTGCGTAAAGATCGCGTGTAAGACGCCAGCGAAGATTGCGGAACTGCGGCAAGACATGACAAGCCGGGGAAGAAGATCAGAAGAGGCAGCCGCAGAAGGAAGCGAGCGCCGAAGCCCGGGCAGCCGGCGTGGAGTGAGACCGATCGCGAGACGAGAAAAGTCAGGCATGAAATCCCGGCGTGTTTCGGGTCACGTGAGAGTCGATGCGAAGATTCAGTGTTGTCCTCAGAGCCCCCTTCCCGTGCTCTCCTGAAGCCTCTTTGACTCGAGTCCTGAATCCTCGTTGACTCACATTCTGAAACCTTGTTTATTCTTGTCCTAAAACCCTGTTTACTCGTCTCCTGAAGCTTTGTTTACTTGTGTCCTGAAACCCTGTTTACTCGCGTCATGAAACCCTGTTTATTCGTGTCCTGAAACCCTGTTTAGTCGAGTCCTGAAACCCTGTTTAGTCGTGTCATGAAACAATGTTTACTCGTGTCATGAAACAATGTTTACTCATGTCATGAAATCCTGTTTACTCGTCATGCCATGAAGCCTTGTTTAATCGTGCCGTGAAAGCCTGTTTACTCGTGTCATGAAGCCTTGATTAATTGTGTCCTAAAACTCAGTTTACTCGTGTCCTGAAACCTTGTTTACTTGTGACCTGAAATCCTGTTTACTCGTGTCCTGGAGCCTTGTTTAATTGTGTCCTGAAACCTTGCTTACTTGTGTCCTGAAACCCTGTTTACTCGTGTCCTGGAGCCTTGTTTAATTGTGTCCTGAAACCTTGCTTACTTGTGTCCTGAAACCCTGTTTACTCGTGTCCTGGAGCCTTGTTTAATTGTGTCCTGAAACCTTGCTTACTTGTGTCCTGAAACCCTGTTTACTCGTGTCCTGGAGCCTTGTTTAATTGTGTCCTGAAACCTTGCTTACTTGTGTCCTGAAAC